CCCAGATGTCCTGGGCAAGCCCAGTCTTTACTCATTTCCCTCACCCACCTCCAGTGATGTCCTGGCTTGTAGTAGGCTTTTCCTCTGCTGAGGTTTCACACCTTCCTGACAGTCCAGTGAATTCACTGACACCATTCTAACTGTGTAATCCTGGGCATATTATTCAATTTTTAAGATGCCTCAATTTCCTTATCTGGGAATGGGGGTAATGATAGTATCCACTTCATAGTGTTAAATGAAATAATACACATAAAGACTTTAGAGTGGTATCAGGAGCATAGTAACAATTCAACATATGTAAGGTGTTGTTATTTCTCTAGTTCCTTGCAAGATCCATGATCAAACACACAAGACTTCTATATATTTCACTTTTTGTTTTCTTGAAGAGATCTATCCACCTGGAATGGTTTCAGTGCATAGTTATTGACCCAGAGTTATTCTTCACCACCATCCTAGAGAGGAAGTCCCTTTGTCTGTCTCCTTTTTGGATATTCTGTTTCCTGGATCCTATGTTTTCCTTTTTTTTTTTTTTTTTTTTGAGACAAGGTCTTGCTCTGTCACCCAGGCTGGAGTGTAGCGACCTTCTGGGCTGAAGCGATCCTCCTGCTTCAGCCTCCTGAGTAGCTGGGACTACAGCCACATGCCACATCTGACTAATAAAAAAAATTTTTTTTTGTAGAGATAGGATCTCCCTATGTTGCCCAGGCTGATCTTGAACTCCTGGGCTCAAGTGATCCTTCTGCCTTGGTCTCCCAAAGTCCTGGGATTCTAGGTGTGAGCTGCCTGTTTTCCTACTTATTATGTATACTCCCTCATCTTGGTGGGGTATATCCTTCAATAGCTTCCTAAGGAAGAATGCGTAAGTACATTTTTTGAGGCTTGGTAACTGGAAAGTGTCTTTTCTTTTATACTTTGCAGTTTGGCTGGGTAGGTTGGAAATCATTTTTTCTGAGGCACTGTTAACATTATTTTCTGGCTTTCAGTGCTGTACTTGAGAAGTCTTATGTTTCCTTTTCGCATGCAGAAAAGTAAATTTTTTTCCTTATTGGAAACTTTTAGCATCTTATCCCTGATGTTCTGAAATGTTATAGTAATGTGCCATGTGTGGGTATGGGTCTTTTATCATTCATTGTGCTGGACCTTCAATGGATACTTTAAACCTACAAACTCACGTATGTGAATTCTGGGAAATCTTCTAGGACTATTTCTTTGATAATTTCCTGCCTTCATTTGGTTTTCTCGTTCACCTTTTAGAATGCTTACTATTTGGAATGTTGGACTGATTTTCTCATTTTTTCTAATGCTGTTTTCTCTTTTTCCAATATTCTGAGAGATTTTCTTAATTGAAATTTTCACTTCTGCTATTCTATTTTTAATTTCCAAGAACTTCAACCTTTTTCTTTCTTTTGAATGTTCTTTTATATAGTTTCCTATTCAAATTTCATGAATGCAAATTACCCTCATATCTTGGAGGATATTACAATAATTCTTCTGTATCATGTATCATGCATTATCTCTACTTCTTTAGTTTGTTCTTTCTTTTTTTTGTTCTTTCTTTCCTTCTTGTTTTAATATTGCTTTACTATTAATCTAAGATTAATAATCTAATAATAATCTTCCTTAAATATCTTTTTTTAAAAAGAGATGGGGGTGTCATTATGTTGCCCAGGCTGGACTTGAACTCCAGGGTTCAAGTGGTCCTTCTGCCTCATACTTTTTTTTTTTTTTTTTTTTTGAGACGGAGTCTCCCTCTGTTGCCCAGTCTGAAGTGCAGTGGCCTGATCTCGGCTCACTGCAACCTCTGCCTGCCTCAGCCTCCCAAGTAGCTAGGATTACAGGCACCTGCCACCACACTCAGCTATTTTTTGTATTTTTAGTTTAGTAGAGACAGGGTTTCACCGTGTTAGCCAGGATGGTCTCGATCTCCTGACCTCTTGATCCGCCCGTCTCGGCCTCCCAAAGTGCTGGGATTACAGGCTTGAGCCACTGCGCCCGGCCCTGCCTCATACTTTCGAGTAGCTAGGACTACAGGCATGTGCTACTATGTCCAGCTCTTAAATGTCCCTTGATTTCTTGGATGTCTATTCATATTTTAGAATGAGAGTAAGCACTCGTTAAGTCCAATTGGAAGCTTTTTGGTGTGTTAAATCTTAT